CTTCCCCTTCCGCCGTGTCTCGCCGTTTTTACCCCTCCTCCGTGCCTCCGCCGTCACCCTGCCACGACTCACTGAGTTTCGGTGTGGTGCAACCCTTATAACCCCACGCTCTTTTTGCCTTCTGCCCTCTTCCTTCCCCTCAATACTTCCCTTCCCTCTCCTCCCGCACCGTCGTGTATTCCCTTCCGTCCTCCATCCCCTTTCCCCTTCGACATCCGTTCGATAACTGCACAGTGTAATTTCCTGTTCGCATCTGCCTCTGGCTCTGCTATCTTGGCTTTGTGTTCTTTTCTCATCCGTTTCTCCCCGCTTTCGCGTTCCCCTTTCCTCTCGTCTCGCGTTCTTTCCTTCCACCCTCTTCCACTCCTCCACCCACCCACTCACCCACTCCTCCCCGCCCTCCCCTCCACGCGAATCTGATTCTGTCAGCAATATGCTTCAAACACAACTTTCGAAAGAAGAGTATGTGCCACGCGCCTCGTTTTGCTATACTTGGTTGCGAGCTTTTCTATTCCTCGTTGAAATTCACACTTCCGCTTCACCGTATGTATCCGACCCTGGTTTCTCTGACCTTGATTCCACAGGTGTAACAAACTCCGATCTTCGTTCCGACGCAAGATCATCGCGGGTGAGCTATTTCAATTCTTCCTCCTTTCAAAATTTTCTCTGTACCTTTCCCGCCCTACGTTTCTTTCCTTCACCAAAATAATCAAGTCGTGCAAATGGTTCCCGCGGCGCCGACTTCGGTGCTGACTGAACTGCGCCGCATTCAGATTGACCGACTGACGTTCGAAGTTCAGCCGCCGTTCAAGTGAAATAAATAAATCTCAGTAAGCCCTTCGTCTCTACCTACCTCATATGTACTGACCGACTCGATTTCCTTTCCCCGGCAGTTCATCCCGCAATCTCATGCAAAGCAGCCGCCCGTCAAGAAACCCTATACCGCGCCAAAAAAAAAAAAAGCTTGAAGGTTCGTACATATTTCTGTCCGCCTTTCTTCCCCAAATCTGATCCCAGTTTCGTCAGTTTCTTTTGCGTTTCATGTTTGCAGTTCGTCCATCGTACGTCGTTGGTTCCTTCATTTCCTCAATTGTAACACTTGAAACTGACATGTGCACGGCTGTAGTTCTCGAGATGCTAAGGCTTTAGTGAACCCGGTACGCTGTCCTATAGTAATGGTCTGTTGTACCCTAGCGTAGAGAAATATACCATTTTGACCCAAATTGAACCCGAGCACCAGGATAAGTGCCTAACCAGCACTGATTGTTAGTGCTCTGAAGCACTGCAAATTAGTGCTTTGACGCACTAATATGTAGTGCAAAGCACTGTATATTGGTGCGAAAACGAGCACTTGCACTATATATTAGTGCATTCGGGCACTAATATATGGTGCTTGGCACTAGATATCAGTGGGTCAAGGCACTAATTCCACCTTACGGGCGAGCACTAATATTTAGTGCATTCCCTTTCTGCAGTGAATGCATCGTCCCAGGAATATGCAAGTTGTCCCACCACGAGGAAAGAGGAAAGCTCGGGAGATGGGCTTATATCGTACGTTCCTTGCTCTCGACAAGTCTAATATTCAACGAAGCTTCAATGCAGCCAGATTAATCGGACGTGGTGTACACAACTTGTCACCAGTGCAGATGTGGCCGGCGAGCTCGGGGGTTCGACTCCCTGTGTTCGAATTTCGTGTATATAAGATATCCTTTTGTCTACCTCACCTTCCAGCGTCCGTCTCAAATGGTGCGTACGAAGTGTATTCCCTGATTCCGGTGAAACGTTCCTTGCCTTGCAGAATCCATCCATCTGCAATAACTGTGGCTTATCTCGAACAGATTCCAGGCCATGATTAGTGATGTCCCGGGCCAGGGCTTAGGCCCAAGCCCGACCCAAGCCCGACCCGACCCTGCCCGACCCAGGCCCGACCCGACCCTGGTTTGAGTCGGGCCTGGGGTCGGGCCTGAGATTTTTCAAGACCCGCGACCCGGGCTTGGGCCCGGGTCGGTTCGTGTACCCTATCCACCCGACTTTGGGGGAGGAAAAAAATGCTTCAATGGTGACCTTGAGATGTACAATGTGGATTTTACTATGGTGCTCACCTAACATTTATTTCAACAAGATGTCCGAGGCTAGATAGTTGAACAGAAATTGCCGATAAATTTGATGGGGCTTGAAGCTTGGGCTCAAGCCGAATTCTGACCGCTGAGCAAAGGAAACAGGGTACATGAGGTCAAGGATAGGTTATACAATGTGTTCATGTTCGAAAAAACTCACTCTATGAAGGCTCAAAAAACTACACTCAAGCCCGGGCTCAGGCCCAAGCCCGACCCGACCCGACCCTACCTGGGGCCTAGGGTCGGGCTCAGGATATTTTCCAGGCCCGACCCTACCCCGACCCGACCCAAGCCCGGGCTTTCAGGCCCGACCCGACCCGAACAACACTAGCCATGATATCCACTTGGAATCTACAGCCAGGTATAGGCCAATGACAACGGGGAACATAGCGAACATTCTCGGCAAAGTCGCATCTGTGACATCTGTGATAGCTCGCAGTTGGGGTTCAACTCCCCTCACCCGAATAGCTCTGAGGAGGTTCGTTTTTTTTCCAACACACCGTTTATTAAATATTCACTCCGCCTTATCTAGATCCTCTCGGGAATATTCAAGTTGTGCGCCCATGAGGAAAGTAGAACGCTGCGAAAGCCAAGTGACATTCCCCGTATGTTCCGCCTTGAGCTTCTTCTCCACAAGACTACTCACCTCAGCTTAACGCTATCAAACACAGTTCTGTCAACCGGACCTGGCGTAAGTATCACACACTGGCGGTGAGCTGCGCCGATGTAGCTCAGGGTTCGACTCCCCCTGTCCAAATTCGTGCAGAAGGGTATATTATTTTCCTCGTCCTCTGCCACAGTTTACCTTGCTCGGAGTCCTTCCAGCGTCCATCCATCCCTCATGTCTTTTGTGTGTACGAATTTTACTTTCCGCGATAACTACGAATCACCTCCCGTTTAGATTTCAAGTGCCCTAGTAAACTACAGCCAGATATAGGCTAATGACAACGGGTGGTGTACGGGACGCAGCGAGCATTCTTGGCAAAGTCGCATCTGTGATACCTCGCAGTTGGGGTTCGACTCCCCTCACCCCAATAATCTTCAGGAGGGGTCCTTTTTCCGACACACCATTTATTTACTCCGCCGTTTATTTACTCCGCCTCTAGATCCTCTCGGGAATGTTCAAGTTGTGCGCGCACGAGTCAAGGCAAAATTTACGAAAGCCAAGTGGATATCCCCCGTACGTTCCGCCTTCTTCTCAACAAGTCTAGTGTTCACCTATGCTTAACGCTATCAAACACAGTTCTGTTAATCGGACCTGGTGTAAGTATCACACATGTACACTGGCAGTGATCTGCGCCGATGCAGCAGCCAGCTCAGGGTTCGACTCCCTGTCCGAATCAATTTCGTGGACGAACGTCACCTTTTTTATTTCGTCCTTTGCCACTCTCCTTCGGCTCATAGTCCTCGCCACCCCTCATGCCTTTTGTACGTGCGAATTTTATTCTGAGTGATGACTATATGACTCGCCTCTCGAACAGATTCAAGGCCCTAGTTTCCGCTCGCACTCTACACCCAGATTTGACCCAGATGTGGTCTTATAACATCGGGCGTGGTGTACGGAACACAGCGAGCATTCTTTCACAAATCTCCCTGCGGATAGCTCACAGTCGGGGTTCGACTCCCCTCACCCGAATGACTCTTAAGAGGTTCGTTTTTTTTTTTCACACACCGTTCGCTTACTCCCGCTGAGCTCCTGATGCAGGCACCATTGTCTGTAGTGGCGCTGTGCACTTGTAAAGCGAATGTTCAAAAATCAACTCTATACCTCATAAGTCCGTCCTTCAGCTTCTCTTTACTGTGCTGATTCGGCCCAGCTTGGATACAGCCAGATGAATCGGACGTGGTGTATGACACGCCAAATGCTGCTAAATTGTTGCCATGCCGCTGGGACTGCAGCTCGGACTGTGGGTTCGACTCCCCGCGCCCGAATAATTTGTAGATCTGCGGACGACCCTTTTTCCTTCTTCCTTTTTCCCGTTTATCTGCTCTGGCTTTGAGTTATGTAGGTGCTCATCATGATGTAGGTGACCTCGGGAATATTCCGCACTCGGCAGATCAACGAAGCTCGAAAGCTGAGTTCATATCTTCACGCGTTCCTCCTTTTCATGTTCAACTAACACCCCATATACATCTCGGTGCCAGATCTATAGCTTCAACGTTAGCTCGCATGCAGCCAGATATAGGCTAAAAACAACGGGCGTGGTGTACAGAACACAGTGAGGACTTTCTTACAAGTTTCACTAACTTTGATTGATAGCTCGAAGTTTGGGTTCGACTCCCCCCCGAATGGGTCGACGTGGAAGACTATTTCTTTTTTCCTGCTTTTTCCACGCCGTTGGCTTCAAGTTATGCAAATGCTCAAGGGCTCATGCATGACTTTGGTAATATTCTTCGCAGATCAACGGAGTTTGAAAGCTGAGTTTATAATCTTCTTGCGTTCCCGACATGCTTAACCAGTGGCGCCCCATGGGCCCTTAATATACATCTCGGTGCCAGATCTATGGCTTCAGCGTTCACTAGTGCTCGCATGCACCCGGGTATACGTACTACCCCAACGACAGGCGTGGTGTACGGAACTCAGCGAGAAATTTTAGTTGGTCTTCTGGGATAGGTCGCAGTGGGGGTTCGACTCCCCCGGCCCGAAGAGGTAACGTCTATGGACAGCTCGTTTTCTTTTTCTTTCTTGTTTTCCCCGCCGTTTATTTGCTCGAGTTATGCAGGTGCTCAAGGGCTCACGCATGACCTGGGGAATTAATATTCTGCACTCGGGGATGAACGATATCGTGTTCCAAACGTTGCAAAAATGAAACCAGAACAAAAAACCTCTGGCAAATCACTTTATAATTCTATCTTGGCGCGCTCGAAACATGAACGCGAATCTTGGACGTGGTGCACCTGGCATGCATGGCTCTGCTAAATCTGCTCGCAATCCGGGGTTCGACTCCCCGCGTCCAAGTGCAGTGATTATGGAGACGTCTTTCACGTTTTTCCTTCCTCGACTCTCGAGTATCCTTTTTCTATCGAAGGGCTTCTTCCTTTTCTTCTACGCTTTTCGGGACGCACTTTGGCTACGACTACCGCTTCAACCTGGTGCCCTTCGCTGTCCTCCCTGTGCACTGCGGTGCCTTCTTAGAATCTTTTACACAGTCTCGAATCTTCACGGAGCAATATACGGGACGTGGTGCACAGCGATCATTTCTCCTCTCAAATCGCACATCGAGGTTCGACTCCTCGTGTCCCCCTACAAGTCCATTTTCCACCTCTTTTTCTTGGCGGGACTCTGCAGAATCTACACCTCATAAAAAGTGCATAGTACTCCTCCCTCTGCCAGATCCACAGCTTTAACGTCCACTCGCATGGAGCCAGGTATGCGTACTACCCCAACAACGGGCGTGGTGTACGGAACACAGCGAGTATTCTTACGTTGTAAAGTTATTCGCGATAGCTCGCAGTTGGGCACCGGGGTTCGACTCCCCGCGCCCGAATAGGTTTCTAAATCTATGGGTTTCTTTTTCTTTTCTTTTTTGCGCGTCGTTCATTTGCTCTGGCTTCAAGTTATGCAGGTGCTCACGCAGCGGAACGTTTAGTTCGTCTTTCTTTATTCTAATTCCTGTTTCTCTTCTTCTTCTCTTCTTCTTCGCAGTGACTGCCACTGCTATACCCAAACTCCGAGTCACACGCTTCCCTCTTTACCCAGGAAATATGCGGGACGGTGGTGCACGGCACTGGCAGGGCGATCATATCTGTCAGTGGTTCAAAAAATTGGGAATCTGGTCGACGAGGTTCGACTCCTCGTGTCCGAATGGTGATCAAGGCTCTGATCTTTTTCTTGGCGGGACCCAGTGACAACCGACCTTCAACAGTTTCCATTCCATTTTACTGCTCGCTCCCACTCACGAAGATGCACATAAATCCATATCCACCCGTCGCAAGCACATACCTGTATCTCAACTTCGACTCGCAATTTATGTAATTTCCACCAGATACACGGTATCGTAATCATCCTCATCCATTAAGAACAGGCGTGGTGTACGGAACACAGCGGCCATTCTTTACCGTCAAAGAGAATAATGGATTAACAGCTCGCAGTTGGGGTTCGACTCCCCGTGCCCGGATACCAGATGACCTTGAGTCAATTTCTTTTTGGCACTCCTGATACACTTTGGCTTATGATTATTCAGGTCCTCATGCATCGCGCGGGAAATATTGTCTGCATCAGCAACTTTACAAGTCCGTCTTTTGGCCGCTTTTTCGTCTTTTCTAAGCCGGGTTGTCCGCGGTGTGTGTCATTCAAGAGCGTCACAAGTCCGAAATCACATCCAAGTTTCGAGCATAAAGATACAAAAGCGCAGAAAAGCGGTAAGCCGTTTGAAGCCAAGAAAAGCTACCCCGAAAGACGGCCAAAAGACGTCCAAAAGCCAAAAGACCAAAAAAGCTGCGGTAAGCGGGCAAAAAGCACTTGCAGTTTTACTGATGTGCACCAGTACATTACGCCGGGAACACTGCTCTGGCGGATCAGCGCAAGTTCGAAAGATATTTTTTCACACTCATTCATGTGTTCCATCTTGACGTTGTTTAGCCACCCCGTATACAGTTAAGTGAATCGGATATAGTATGTACTGCACGTACGCATTCGCAATGGTTGCATGCAGCTTTTAAATGAGGGTTCGACTCCCTGTGTCCAAATGCTATGGCTCCGATTTTTTATTTCTTTTCTCAACTTCCCTCGTCTTCTTCTAGCCTTCCTCAGCATCCCTCGATTTGTCTCAGGGCCCAGGCCTTCTGTACAATTTCAAAGTTTCCAGCTACTCGCGAGAAGCGCGTACAAAAAACCACTGGGCGTAGTAACTCACCTCTGGAAAAGATCCAAGCCTAAGGCTTTGCAGTCAAGCCGCAAGCTCGGTGAGAAAGTGCTTCGGGTTAACCACGGGTGTGGTGTACGAGCGGAGTTCTTTGTGACGTCGAGCAACAACTGAGAGCTTGCGGTTGGGGTTCGACTCCCTCCGGATACCGTATGACCTTGAGTCAGTTTCTTTTTGCACCGTTGATGTTCTTTGGGTCCTCATTTAAGTACTCTTCGGTGGGGACGGCGATGAGAACAAAATCGGTGCATGCTCAATTGGACTTGCGTGTGTGTGCTACCTGAGGCTGCGACGCACCGCAAGCTCGGCGCCACTTGGGCGCCACCTCATCTTTGTATCGATGATCAAATTCGCCGGATTTCCGGCCCGATACTGATGGCAGTGGGCGATAGCTCGACGGATACCTTGCGGAGTTTGAATGTATCAGCATCGCGGCACATCAATCCAAAGGGTCCCGAGTTCGAAGCTAGGCGGCGCATCTCTTTTTGGTACCTGAAGTTCAAGTGTCGGTAAACATGCCGCAGAGCAGCAGACAATAAGCTACTGAGTTTTCTGTCTTTCAATAACTCATTCATCCGTCCTCTAGCATGCAAACCATTGATTTCATTGGTACCAAAGATACTGAAACAGCAAGTTTGAAGGTGATTTGTGGAATACAGCAAGAAGCTGCTCAATTCTATGCGCTGTAAATCACATACCATTCCACAAGATTTAAAGCATTTGCTCACCATTACCACTGTGCGAGATGGAGGATACCTATGATTGGCAATTCCTTGAGTTGTCACACAAAAGTCGACGATCTTGTGGTTTCTATAATTTGGCTGAGCTGTCAGGTAAGTCTGCATCCTTTGAAGGATGAAATGAAACCAACGATACCAACAAAGACCGTGCAACACGAGTATCTCGAGCAAAAGCAACGATAGTGATGGATTGATGGCAATCGGGCTGCAGACGATCAATTTTCGAACTCCGCGAGCTATCCTCAAACTCCGCTAGCTATCCTAATCTTTTTGCTACACAGCCAAGCCGTGCTCGTAAATTCTACGTATAATTTGAGGATCTTATTGAATGATACAAAATCACTTCTGATTTTCTTTCTGTCCTCCAGGGATGCAACAATTATCATCCTCAACTTATTCAAGTATCTGTTTCTGTGGCTGAGCAGCGATCACATCAGCGGCAGCCTCTTATCAATGAAGATCAAGGTTTCTGGAGATCTCGGTTATGGGCGAGAAGGCTGATTGATCATTGCAAGTGGCATATTGTCTGTCAAAGCCAGGACTTTGTCAATGTCCTCTGGGTTGTGTCCAATATCCGCAATGTCAATGAAGGTCTGATGTGCTGCATCTTCAACCATCTTGCCCCAAGGGATTCAAGGGGGGTAAAAAAGGATGTGACCAAGCCACCTTGGCAGGCCGCTGGGTTCCACGCATCATGACCTATCAGACTAGTAAGTAATGTAAAACTAAAACTAAGGACAGACCATCTGCACCCACCATCAATGCAAGATGCTTCACATCTGTGAGCAGTGACAAGAACTCTTCAACCTCTTTACGAGACTCCAATGGCTCCCAAACCGTCTCCAGATTGTCCAAGACAAGGAGACTTGGAGGGCTGCTGAAGAGGTGCCAAACAATGGCTCGAGCCAGGTCTCTCTCCGGCTTGAGCCCCAAATGAGCCCCAACCAGTGCAGCCAGTTCTACTTTGGTGGTGGCAGCCTCACAAGCCACAAAGTACCGATGCTGCTCATATCTTGTGTCAATTTGTATGTGATGCAAAACCACTCTTGCTACAGTCGTTTTTCCCATTCCACCGGCACCTAGAATGGCTATCCTGGGAACTCCCTCGCAGAATAGTTGAAGAATTGCAACAATTTCTGAGTTGCGGCCATGGAAGATTTTGGGCTCCGATGGTAGCATGGTGAACAAGGTGGAGCTTCGAGCAAATATAAGAACCTAATTTAAACATGAACAGCAGCAATACATACCTAGTGTGAGAGCCAGAATACACTGTGTTTATCTGTAATCAGGTTATTGTAAATTTCCCTAATAGAACAATAAACTCACAGTTGAGTTTGCATCGGAACTAGCATCAGAGAGTACTTCAATGAGGCACAGCACCTCTTGATGTCTTTTTTCAGACTTTTCTTGCATGTCTTCGATATCCTTTGTGATTTTTCCAATGTTGATCTGACTGTCTTATATCAATGACTGTGTTGAATTATACTATCTGGTTGACTGACCTGGAACAAATCAAGTCCTTGTTGTAGTCCCTCTTTACAACCTCTGAGCAGAGTACCAAGCTCGCCCTGGCGGAACAGCTTCCTGATTTTGCTGCCTTTTTGCTGGGCCTCAATAAAGGTGTGAACCTTGTGGAGTGTTCTGAGAATGGGGAATAAGTAAGTAGGTGACGGTAGCAATGATGACAGGTCAAGTACTCTGTAAATTTTGCCATCTGACCCAACACACCGGGCGGCAGGTCTGCCCCAGTGTTGGACTTGACATAGGTGACAAGGATTGCATTCAACAATTCATGTGTCTGCTGGAGCAATTGGATACATGTCTCTTTGTTCTGTTTGATGATCTGCGACAGTGACTGAGATTCGGGTATAGATGACCAGCAGCAAGAAAATACCTCGATGGTTTTCACGAGAGATCGTGTGGTGTAGGAGATAGCCTCAAGGGATGATTCCCTCAATCCACTCGAAAGGACTTCCACGGAGCTCACAGTGATATTGAGGCATTTGGTAATGTTATTCAAACGAATCTGTGTGAGGGAGGGTTGTGGCGGCATAATGATGGGAGGGGGTGCTTCCGTCGGAGAGGGAGGACTCGCCATTTATGCCCTCCCCTCATGGGAAGTTTCACGTTCATTGGCTGCAGTTCATCTTTTGATCTAACAGTGTCCATGTCTATTCACACTCTGTGCATTCAATGTAGCTACAATCATCAGCGACGCGGGAGATAATCTTTGGTGTATTTAAAGGTGCCTCTCCGCAACACTGATATGGCTGAATTTGGAACCAGTTTTCCTATAGATACGGAGCTTGAACAGTGCACAGAGATGGGTACTAGAGGGAATCAAAATGAAACCA